CAACAACAACATATATATATTTTTTAATTTAAGGTTTTTATTGTGGATTGAGTGAAAGTTTACAGGGCACATCATCAGTTTCACATTCAACCATTTTATATTCTTTTGAAGCTGAAAAAAACTCTTTTAAAAAAAATTATCACATATTACTTTTATAAAAATAAACCTAAACTTAATGCTAAACGCTAAGGATCTAAATGGATTAATGCATGTACATTGAAAAAATCAGAATGAGAAAAACATATAATTATTGTGACCGGAAGTTACCTGAACAATGGTGAATCCAGATCTGAGAATAATATCTTGTATCTCCTCCTCTTTGTCAACAATATCTGGCTTGATAATGGCCAAAGTTTTTTCGATATATATCTGTGGTGGGGGCATTGATAACTCCATCCCAGCTTTTCAGAGTACAATTTGAGTTTCTTGACGAATCAACTGCAATGATAGTACCCCACCCCACCCCAAATTTAATGTAACTGTGATTAAGAACAGCAATATAAAGTGCTTGATTTTAATTTATAAAGTTACATTGCCACATGCAAGGAAGCTTCTAAAAGTTTATGGAAAACTTCCATCTTTTAATTCAATTATTTCCACGAACTTCTTGAAGCCCCTTCATATTTTTCTATAAGCATATTACCAGGGATATGCTCTCTACTGTGCATCCACGTCACGCATTTTGTTTTCAAAAATACATTCACCGGGAGAGGTGCTCAGCTAGGTCAAGGGCTGCCAGAAGGCCTGGGACTAAGGAAGACAATAGGGGTGGGGCAGGGGTAGGCAGCGCTAATCCATTGGAATCTGGGCAGCCTCTAGTGACTAGCTGCTTTAGCGAAGCGACCCCGCTTCAGAGTTAAGTGCTTATTTTGGGTTAGGACGCTGAAGAGCAGGGTCTTCAGATACTCTGGGCTGCACCCGCTGAAAGGAAGGCACTCACCTTAGCACTGTATCAATGAGCACAACTTGTCGCTAAGCGACTAGAAGCTCCAGAGACGGTGGCTGCAGAGGGCCAATTCTAGTGGTGTGCTTCTCCGCCTAATAGTTTCTTTACAGCCAAGAAAGAAAATCAGCCACAGACGTTTTTATTACCTTTAGCGCACTATAGTTTTTGGAGTTTTATTTTTGGTTTTTGTTTTTACATTTTATTCATAATTTACCTAATTTCTTCTTTATATCCTTATGAGAGATACTTTAATTATCCCAATTTCATAAATCAAGAAAAGTCCTGGTGAGGCAGTGGTTAAGAATTTGACAACTACAAATGATACTGGTTCATCAAGTGATAGGGCCTCACAGTTCTAGTGATACTTAAACTTAAACACCTACCTATGCAGTCATGTTGGAGGGAGGTTAAAATGTTACCTTTGCATTACAGAACTTATTACTGTACTTGTTCTCACATTATTGATGTTCTCAAGGTAGAAGTTATTTAAATGGCACAGTATATATACTTTGAAAAATATTTGAGACCTCTTAAAAGAATGGACATGTTTATATTTCTGCTACCTGTATTTTCCTGGGAAGTTTGGTGGAATATTTTAAGTGTCAGTGGTTCAGAACAATAAACAAGCTTTTCTTATACATTAAAAACAACAACAACAATAAAAAGATTTTGGCAACTAAACAAAAGGTCAATAGTTCAAGAAAGGGAACAGATTTGGACATGCTTGGGGGCAGTTCTATTCTATCCTATAATGTCACTATGAGTTGAAATCAACTCAATGGGTTTGGGTTTTTTGGTTTTACAAATCAGACAAATCAGATACCCCCATTCCATCCCATCCCACCCTGTTCTAGGAAGCATCTGTAGAAAAATTGACAATTATCTTCCTCATTTTACTTTATTATGCTGTTCTCTTTATTCTCAGCTTCTTTTACATTAAAAAGCAGTCTTTAGTTTATGAAATTTTTTTTGTAGATCAAAATTTATTTGTAGATCAAAAATAACAAGTTTAATCTAGTTACCTCTAAATTAAGCCTGTTAAACAAAGATGGGGGCAACAATTGTGGCATGAACCCAAATCTCAGCTTTCCCTTTTTATTATGTTACAGGCATCTTTGACTGCTTGATGATGAGTTGAAAGGCCTTACACTTTTTAGGGAAAACAAAACAGAGGCATGGTAAACAAATAATGAAATCTTCTTTAAGGAGAGGTCCAAACTCCAATAAAAGCCAGTAACAGGTCCTGTTTAACAAGACACTCTTTCTGTCATCCATCAGGTTGAATGGTTCTCATCCAGACTACTTAAATCTCTTCTTTTATCTAACCAAAGACTCAGCACCTACAGGATCAAGACACAGTTAGAGAGCTATGAAACTTAAAAAGCTACAGAGGTTTTAATGCAATTTTATTTCTTTTTCTGCACATAAATTTCACTATACTTCTTTCTTTAAAGTATGATGCTTCCCAGAAAGAAATCCTAAATGTCTTATCTCCTAAAGATGGTACACTGTGAAGGTACATTGATATAAACAGACTTAATAAACAAAAAATGGTTAGTGACTCTGGCATCTGGTTTGCATGTCTAGTCCTCTAACTTGAAGCTCTGGAAGCAGGACCTCCCATTATTAGTCTATTTCCCTCTCCTGAGAGCTCCTCACTGCTGCCTGCCTTCCTGGATTACTTTGCTTCACAATTTATTATAGCTAGACCTACTGAAGATTAGGATTTTCCATATCAGTGGATACAATGTCAGTTTTTCAGGGCCTTGAATGACCCCAAAAGATAAACTCTGGGAACACAAGTTCATCTTAGTATCATCCTTAGTCTCAAATTGTTTCTGAAACCAGATTTGAGAGGCTATATTCCTTTTTCTTGCAGCTCTCTATATACAGTACCTGAATCTGTTCCAAAACTTCTCGTTGCATCTCCACAGCCATGTGGTACACGTGATGGTCAGAGTCATTGTACATCACGGCATTTTGAAACATCAGCATTAAGTCTCGTTGAAACTGGGCCATGGTGCGAATTCGTCCCTTAGACAGATTCCTCTTCAAACTAGTTAAGTCCATGGGTCTATAGGTGGCCAAGAGAAATGAGGGGAAATCAAACATTCACGTGGAATATATATGACTTGTAGAGCGAGCCAGCCCTTAATGAAAATAATAGCAAAAATAATGAATTCACCAGATAATAAAATAATAATATCAGTTTATATTTGACTGCCTGCAACAGACCAAGCATTATGCTAGACACTATATATTATCTCAGTCTTCCCAATAAACATGTTGTCATTGTTAGATGCAATTGAGTCAGTTCCAACTCATAGTGATCCTATGCACGACAAAACAAAACACTGTCCAGTCCTGTGCCATCCTTATAACTGTTGCTATGATTGACTGAGCCCATGATTGCTGCCACTGTGTCAATCCATCTTGTCCATATCTGTTCCACTTTTTTGCTGGCCTTCTACTTTACCAGTTATGATGGTGTTCTTTAGGGACTGGCCCCTTCTGATAACATGTCTGAAGTATGAGAGACAAAGTTCCACCATCCTGTCTTTAAGGTATATTCGGGCTCTATTTCTTCCAAGACAGATTTGGTTGTTCTTCTGACATCCATGGTTCTTTTAGTATTTTCCTTCAACACCTTAATTCAAATGCGTCGATTCTTCTACGATATACTTATTGCTTATCCAACTTTCACATGCATATGAGGCTACTGAAAATACCAAGGCTTGAGTCAGGTGCACCTTAGTCCTCAAACTGGTCTTAGTTCTTTAACAATTTAAATAGGTCTTGTGAAGCAGACTTGCTTAATGTAATATGTTGTTTGATTTCCTGACTGGGGCTTCCATGAATATTGATTGTGGATCCAAGCAAAATGAAGTCTTCAATAACTTCAATCTTTTCTCCATTTATCATGATGTTATTTATTGGTCCAGTGGCGAGGATTTTGTTTTCTTTACAATGAGGTGCAACCCATACGAAGAATTTGGTCTTTGATCTTCATCAGTAAGTATTTTAAGATTTCTTCACTTTCAGCAAGCAAGGCTGTATCATCTGCATATAGCAGGTTGTTAATGAGTCTTCCTCCAATCCTGATGCCTCATTTTTCTTCTTATAATCTATCTTCTCAGGTGATGTACTCAGCATACAGACTGAATAAGTATAGTGAAAGGAAATAACTCTGGCACACACCGTTTCTAATTTTAAACCATTCAGCATTCCCTTGCTCTGTTTGAACAACTGCCTCTTGGTTTACGTATAGGTTTCTCAAGAGCACAATTAAGTGTTCTGGAATACTAATACTTGGCAATGTTGTCCATAGCTTGTCATGACCCATACAATCAAAAACCACTGCGAGTCAGTAAAGCATAGGTAAACATCTTTCTAGCGTAGTGGTTACGAATCGGGCTATGAACCACGAGGTCAGTAGTTCGAAACTACCAGCTTTTCCACAGGAGAAAGATGAGGCTTTCTGCGCCCATAAAGATTTACAGCCTCAGAAACCCTGTACAGGGTCTCTATGAGTCAGAACCGACTCCATGGCACATAACCACCACCACCAAACATCTTTCTGGTATTCTCTGCTTTCAACCAAGAGCCATCTGGCATCAACAATGATATCCTTTGTTCCATGTTCTCCTCTGAATCCGGCTTGAATTTCTGACAGTTGTCTGTCAATATACTCTTACAATTGTTTCTGAATTATCTTCAGCAAAATTTTACTTGTATGTATTATCTTAGATATTGTCCAATGGTTTCCACAATCCATTGGATCATCTCTCTTTGGAACGGGTGCAAATATGGATTTCTTCCAGTTGGTTGGCCAGGCACCTGTCTTCCAAAGTTCTTGGCATAGATGAGTGAGTGCCTTTAGTGCTACATCAGTTTGTTGAAAGGTTTCAATTTGTATTTCATCAATTCCTAGAGCCTTATTTTTCACCAGCGCCGTCAGTATGTATTATCCCCATCTGACAGATGAAACTGTTATATAAAGAGGGTAAGTTCTTTTCCAACGTATAGCCTGGATTCCATTTAAAAGGCAGCTTGACTCCAGAACCCACAAGCCCAGACATTACACTCTACTATCATAAGATGGAGTCATGGTGACACAATGGGTAAATGCATGGCTGCTAACTGAAAGGTCAGCAGTTCAAACCACCTAATGGTGTCTTAGAAGAAAAGATTTGGCAATCTGTTACTGGAAAGATTACAGTTTAGCAAAGTCTATGGAGCAATTCTATAGGGTTCTGTCATATAAGGTCACTGTGGGTCAGCTGCAACTCAACAACCCACATCATCATCATCCTATTAGGAATGCTGGGCCCAGGTACCAAAGCTGTAAAGAGTCCATGTTCAGTTTGTCACATAGTAGCAAGGTCAGAGGTTCAAATCCACCAACCACTCCTCAGAAGCCCTATACAGGGTGTCTAAGTTGGAGGTGACT